CCGGGAATTCGATCCTGTACTGGTGCGCTCCAGCGCGGCTCGTGGCTCTGCCAGCCCGACCTCCCATTATGTCGTAGCAATCGAGCGTGCTGGAGATGCCGTAGTCAGTTATCGGATACTTGCGCCAATCGAAGTTCGGCACGTTCTTGTATGCGATGAGGGCGGCTTTGTTGGCAGTGTCCAGGTCATAATAAAGTCCTCTACACTTGATCATTGGTCCTTCATATGCATCTTCCCGTATGGTGTTGACAATGTAAGCTATCTCTTTCTCTTTCAGCTTCTAGCGAAGAGGCGTAATGGGAAGATGATCGCTGCATTTCTGACTAATGATGGTGGAATATAGAGGAGGCAGAACGTGATCATCCCGAGCCAAAGCGGCCGCGTCCTGCCGAAATGTTCTGAGAGCGGGCCCCATACAGAGGACCGAATCCTAGGCCCATCACGTATAGCGACAGATCAAGAAGCATGGGCTCCTTCGGGACATGTAACGTCTCGCTGTACCCGTCCGAAGTGGCAACGAAAACACTGCTTCCGAAAGACACCACAAAGCTGAGGGAACTTGTGGTCACGACTATCGTCCATTTTCGAAAGAAGGACCAGTTTGACGGCTTCTGAGGGTCATCGGGCCCGTCCCATGACGCTGCAGTCGTCATTGTGATGAGAAGTACTGTGGAGATATGGGTGCCGCATCAGATGGCAAAGTTGTGGTTCGACAGGAGCTCGACTCAATCAGTGCATTCTTGAGAGAGTATCTGAAGGAGAGAGCTACTTCCGTTGCGGTGATGTCTAGAACTAACCTCAGCTTTGATTCTGTGCACAGCCGGATACGACACTTCCATGGTGGCAAATCCATCGGGAATATGTAAGCTCTCGTATGCTTGAGAAACAGCTTTGTAGGGATGCTGCTCGCATTTTGATACAGTCCTCGCTGTCGGACATATTCTGCGCGACGACCTCACCTCGGCAAATAACCCTACAATTCGTTCTGGCACAGAACATTGCGAGCAATGGACTCCTTATTCAGGAAGGAGAGGCACACAAGAAGGCTCGAAAGGCTCTGAGTCCCGCTTTCAGCCCTGCACAGCTGCGAGACTTGCATCCGATCGCGTTCAGGACTTCTCTAGAGATGCTTGAGCGCTTAGCGGGCGAGGTCAACAAACACAGCACGGAAAGTGTCTCGGGCGGAAGCAGCACAGCTGGCGAAGTGACGCCGGTGAACATCCTCCATGGCACGACTCTCGATATCGTTGGCCGGTGGGCATATTCCGTGGACTTTGGCGTTGTGACTGATCCCAAATCTCTGATTCGACCATACATTGGAATGTTCAAGCAAAGCTGGCGAGGACAGATGACGTTCAATGTTGCGGCTGTCATCGGACCTCGCCTTGCGCTCAAGCTTCCTCTTCGAGCTGTAAAGACGATGGGAGCTGTTATGAAGCCGGTGCACGATATGTCAGCTGACATTGTCGCCCAGCATACAGAAGGTCGGCTCAACTGTACTGGAGAACCAGAGAAGACACCATTAGCAAGCAAGAAGATCTAAGTCGTGGCTGAGGGTCGGCAAGATTGGATCAAGAAAGTCTGGTTGACCAGACGGTCCACATGCTTGCTGCGGCGACCGAGACATCTGCCGGCACCCTATCCTGGGCCGTACATTTACTTTCTCGGTACCCAGACTGGCAAAACAAGATTCGAGAAGAGGTTCGTCGACGATTACCCTCTCCGAGATGCATGAATCTCGAGGAATGCTCTTCAGCAGTACAAAGATCGGACTTTCAGGACATGGTCCATCTGAACGCCTTTGTCAAGGAAGTTCTTCGCTTTCACTCCGTCAACACACTCTTGTGGCGCGAATGCATAGAGCCAGCAACTATTGCTAGCGAAACCATTCAACCGGGAACTATCGTCTCATTTTCGCCTTAGGCACTCGCTCGCGACCCTAAGGTTTGGGGTCCGGATGCTCGTACGTTCAATCCACAGCGCTGGATCGACGACTCGCAAGGTGGTTCAAGGAATGAAGCTGCCTGGTTGATCTTTGGGTCCGGGCCAAGGGGATGCATTGGCGAGCAGTATGCTTATGCTCAGATCCAAGCCATTATCGCCACGCTTGTTGGCCGATACGATATGTCACCACTTAATGCAGCAGTGGGTACTGATGAAGGGCACGAGCTGGGCGATGATGCTGCTTTGACCTTGTCTAAGGTCATGGATGGGTGGAAGCTGAAGTTTCGAGAAGTGCCTAGGTAGTAATTGTCCGAGCTAAGACGGATGTTTTTAGGCAGTAGTTAGAGGGTTGGAGGAGCCTGCGACGAGGACACGGAAACGGAGGTCAGCGAATCTTGAGAAGAACTATAGTAGAGAAATAGTTCCGATACTAAGGAGGCAAGGAGGTCTGCTAAGCTATCCTCCCAATTCGAGTTCACCCTAGTCTTTTTTTCCCTCAAAACATAGCCTACGAATGTCCTTCTCCATCGGAAGATCAGAAGAACAAAATGGATCTCTAGCTGAAGTCTTACCTCCTACATAAATATCAACGCCATTCAACTCAATCGCCTGCAACAAATCCCCCAGACGCGAAACGCAAGCATGCCCACACAGACCAAAGTGCTTCCTCAGTCATCCCGAGCCGCCGAGGACATGGAGACGCGCGACATCACAGCAATAATCCTGATAGCTGCCAGCTCTCTTGCTCTCACAATGAGCGCAAGTCTGACCTTCGCGCGACCGAGGAATCTGGAAGATGTCTGGAAGAACACCCGGGAATCCTACAGATCGCTATGGTCATGCTGGCAGTCGACGTATTGTGCATCTGGACCATCAGCACATTAGGCCTTCGACGCTTCCCGATTGTTTCGGCACGGTGTTTGCGTGTTGCATACGGTAGCTCCATCGGTACCGTTATCTTGGTATTGATTTTTTCCGGCGCCAGCAGACTCGTGCACGTCCTTGGCTCGGGAGTTCTAGCTTGGATCGTGGGTTTCGTAATCGGCCACGCGGAGCCATATGTACAGGATGCATTCAGGAAGGAGTAATAAATCTGGAGTCATGAATCTTGTGCCCGGCTTCAGTCCCAAAGAATCACCGGCTTGATCGTCGCTCCCCCATGCATATCCTCTATAGCCTGTTGAAAGTCCTCGGCCGGGATGAATCTCACCATCTTCTCGAGCGGAAACTTGCCCTCACGATACCAGCGAATCATCTGAGGGACGAATTCTCGCGGATCAGCCCAACCCTCCACGGCGCCAATGAAGCTCTTATTGGCGAACAGATTGCCCTTCGCCAGCCCAAACTTCACTTCATATCCCAGATCGGGCGATATACCGATCTGGATATGCTTGCCTCGCGCGCGCGTTGCTTCATAGCCGCTTTCGGTCAGCGCTGGCACGCCGGTCGTCTCGATTGTGACGCTGGTGCCGATTCCGTCGGTGGCGTCACGAATGGCTTTGATCAGATCCTCGCCGGGAGTCGTGTCTGTTGTGTCGATTGTGTGCGTGGCTCCCAGCTCCCGCGCGAGAGCCAGTCTTGATGGAATCCGGTCAATGGCAATAATTGTGTGGCATCCTCTCAGCTTGGCGGCCATCAGAGCACCCATACCAACACCACCAAGACCAATGACAGTCACAGTATCCTTTGGTCCTGCGTCTGCAACATTTGTGACGCTGCCCGCTCCAGTTTGAGGCCCGCATCCAAGCGGCGCGAAAAGCTGCAGCTCGGACTTGTCCTCGATCAGGTCTTTGGCGTTCACGATGGAGCTTTGTTTGACGATTGACAAGCCTGCGAAAGAGGACTGGCTAAAGAATGTTCCTGTAATGTCCGGTTCTGAGGCGTCGGGCAAGTTTTCGGATGTGAAGACTTTCTCGAAGCTGAGGGTGTTCCATGCCTGGAAATCTTTGCATGTCGCTGGAACACCGGATTTGCAGTGGAAGCATGATTGGCAGGAAGCAAATGAGAGCAGGACTGGATCGCCGACTGAAGCGATGGTGACCCCGGGTCCGACCGCAACGACATAGCCGGCTCCTATATCATGGTCAGCGGATTTCCTCCTCATACTTGAAACGCCTTGAGAGGATGTTCATTGACCAACCTTCATGTCCGAGCACACGAGGGTAGACGGCCAGTGGAGATGCGCCTTTGGGTACGCTTCCTGCGAACACATCTGAATGACATATGCCCGTCGCCACCATCTTCACCAGCAGTTCTCCTTCTCCCGGCTGTCGTACTCTGACGGTTTCGAATTTCCAGCCTCCATTCTGCAGGGTGTCACGACTGACGATTGCTTGAGTTTTCAGCATGTCTGTCATGGTTTTGTTTGTCTTGAGTTGGAAATTACTCGAACAGGTCTCAAGTGTCGTTCAGAGTTACGAAAGTGAAGCTGACTCTTCTTTCAGCTCGTGAAGGAAAGTGATGCGCTTGCAGCTGTTAGAACTACTCCGTTGGTCGAAGCACAGCCATCGCCTCCGCTTCGTGCCACTCTAGTTGAGGTTTGTGTGGTATCGTGTAAGGGTCCACTCAGCTATTAATCATTACCATTATTATGCTCACTACCACATCTCATCAACGACGTCAAGACACTAAAATACGAACAATTCTCACATCGCTGCTTCACTCGTAGAACCATACGAAGAGTGAAGTCAGAAAAAGGTTGAGGCTTTCGAGCAAGGGAAGCTTTCGTACCTGCAGCTTCGATGCGAATGCCGAGCAAGGTGTCTGCGGCCGAGAAGAAGATACGCCTTGCCTTCTGCAGATGCTACAGCGAGCATTCTGCTTATCATCCATCTTGCACAATCCCACTTTCGGAGTCCTGATGAAAGGTCGGCCCGCAGATCATCCTGGAGCTCTACTGGTCGATTACTTTTACCCGTCTTCTCACTTCTCGACTTCCACCGGGTCTCCAAGCAGTCAATAATGCGATTGAGGGTGACTCGGCTTCGAATAGCGCCATGGCGGATCATGCCTGCGATGAAGCCCACGCGGCGAATTTTTACGAAGCCTCTCAATTTCGACCACTTCGCGAAGCCGTATATACGTCTGTGAGATACGCAGCCGGACTGAACATCTCAGGGACCCAAAGAATGGCTCTGGATGCCTTTCGATCATCAAGAGCTCAATGATCCTGACCTGGTCACAGCGCCGGGACGTTTTCTCAATCGATTCGGCTTGTCTTGAGAAGCGTGAGCAATCACGCCGCCATGTGAAGAAGCGAGCTGCAGCGGCATGCGGCTTGTGAGATGGTGTTTGCGGTCCATGAAAACAGGAGTCGTGACTTGGAAGAGGACGAGAAGAAGCAGCCAAGTGTATTCTAGCAAGATCTGATGGGATTTCAATTATTCAGCCAACTAGTATTCGGCCGAGAAGATTTCGAACATTCGAGTTCGCAACCTGGTCTTCGGTCGGCTTACTGTATGCAGTTGCTGCAATTATAATTTATTGACACCTTGCACGTCGTCGTCGTCGCTCGATTTGGACGTTCCTAGCAGAAACCCAACCCAATCATCGGAGAGTGGGTGTTTTGGAGATGTACCGACTCCCTATGATCCCAACGTTTGCTAGGTCTATCCGGGGTTGCGTCAGCCACTTCACCCCTCGCCCCGGGCTCGGGGATTCCGGCCATACGTAAAATCGCTTTTTCTTAGTAGGCTACACGTAAAACTCGACATAGTAGTATATTGTATAGTATATAGACCGGGAAATTGAATTAGGGTGCGGTTAGGGTTAAGAAGCAGTAGATTTCCGTTATATTAGCGACTAAATTGCGACCGTAGATAGTTAAAATAGACCTGTAATCGGCCTCCGCGTAAACCTCTTATTAACTAAGTAATTAATTACCTTATAAGTCGGTCTATAAGTCTATTATATAATTGCTATCTCTTATTATTATTATTAACTAAATAGTTAACTGCTATCTTAAGACTCTTCTAGCTTAATAGGGTTGTTCTTACTACTAGCGACCTCGCCTCGATAGCGACTAGTTTTCTTCGGAGGCTCGTAGAAATAGCGCTTCCGCTATACTAACTTCTAGCGCTAGCGAGGATATACTAAGTAAGGCTAAATTATAGTATATATAGTATCTTTATTAAGCAGTGCCTCGTCTTATTATAGCTAGTCGAGTCGGGTATTAGGCTCTTACGCGAATAGGCTATTTAATCGCCGCTTAGTCTTAACGTTAGTCTACGTTAGTAGGTCGCCTTCGTCGTAGTTATAGGCGCGGCTCGGTAGAGATAATGTTCTTATTAGACTCTACGTATAAGTAATATCGCCGCTCTTACTCGTGTCGGTAGCTCGCCTATAATAGCTAATAATGTTAGCGTATAGATTACTAGTCTTCTTTAATATAGAGTCGGAGATAAGAAGGCGCTTATCGAAGACTCGTTATAGTAGCTTATCGATAGACTATAGCTTAACGTCTATCTACTTAGTCTTGCTATTATTGTTAAAGATAATACGGAAGGCCTTACTATAAGAAGGGTATATTAGCAGGTAGATAGGGTAGTAGTAGGTATAGGTAGTATTCGATAGAGATCTAAGAGGAGAGGGAGGAAGGCAGGCTAGTTAGCCTAACGCTAAGCGCTAAGCCCTGCCTAAGGCATTAAGACCCTAGCTTCACTCGAGCCTAGTTATATGCTAATTACGTATAACCTCTTTAGTCCTAATATACGCTTCCCTTCTAAAGGCCGCGCCCTCGTAGCCGGTCTATATTCTATTCTTAAACTCTATCGCTACTAACTTAGCAGGTCTAGTAAGCTTCTTAGTCCGCGCTAAATTGAATACGCAATCGCCGACTATGTAACTATATCAAACCTTACCTCTAATACAACACAATGTCTAACTCTAACTGCGCTATCCTTGTATATAATAAAGTAATATATAACTACGAGAATTAAGGACTATCGACTAATTACAATACGAGCGTACCTTCCCTACTGCAATAGGTAGGTATACGGGGTATTATAGCACTGCCCCCGTTCTAAGTAATGTCGTACCGAGTTCTTTGCGTCTACTCTAAAAGACCTAGCTATATCTGCTTCCGAGGGTTGTCCGCTTCCGAGGGTTTATTCTTATTATTACGAGGGCTATTATTGTTCGTAGTTTCGCTAGCCCTAATTAGTTAGGTTTAGTAGCCTTTAATTGTTAATCTTATCTTATCTTTTTAGAAAAAACACAGCTCGTCTAGTTTCTATAGGTAAAGGCTATTATAAGTGTAGTAGTAGATGTTCGCCTCGCTTAAAGGGTTAGATAGATCGAGGAGTAACCTATTGTCCGCAAGATCGACCCCGGCTAGCTTAGCTTTATAGTTTTGCCCTTAGTTAGTCTATTAGTCGCTTAATCTTTTAGGCGGCTTAAAGTTTTGACTTAGCCTTAAAGTTTTGATTAAAGTTTTGATTAAGGGTGCCTTAGGCTCGTAGTATAGGTAAGGTTGTCTTTACAGGTATAGTAACAATAGCGAGTAATATTAATAATAGCGGCGCTAGTTATCTTAGCGCTAACTTTACCTTGTTTTAATTTCCTTCTTTAACTAACAATAACTCGGCAACACCGTTACTAATATAGCTATATCCTTCCTTTCTTAAATAGTAACACACTCCGCAATACTATTACTAATATAGCCGCGCCGGCCGCGCCGTCCTCGCCGATTGCCTAGGCCTCGAGGCCTCGATAGAATTAGGGAATAAGAGGGGGACCTATAGGGCGCGTTAGCGAAGAGGTAGAGTCCTTAAAAGAGTATACGATTGATTGATTAACGCGTCGTAGCGCGCCTAGTATAGTCTTATTGTCCTTTGTTGCTAACAATTGCTTGCCTCTAATTAGTTAGCTAATAGTACCCCGGGGTTAGTATTGTTCCTAGGCCTTAATAGTAACATTATAAGCTTTTAGCCCTCTTCTTGTTCTTTACGCTAGTCTAATACTTATCTAACAACTTAGCTATATCCTTAAAGGAATCTTTAGCCTCCTATAAGTCCTATTCTGGTAAATAGCCCTACTATCTTAGCAGGTACTCCTTCTTGCCTTGCCTAGTCCGGTGCTTTAGAATACGTTCTATAGACTACAGTTCTTCGCTATTAGCTAGTATGTCCTCGGATTTAGTAGGTGCTTTATCCCCTTCGTATAGGTAGTATAGTTTAAGGAGGGATATATAGAAGGTGTTATAGATAGTATAATAAGGTAGAAGCTACAACTAATAGGCCTATACGGAGGAGCCCTTAACTTCTCGAATGCGGAATAGGCTAATGTATCTTAGTACGAGCTTAGGCCTTGTTTTGCTATTAGGTAATAGGTGCTTACGGATGCGGAGGTTCTTCGTGCTTAGTATAACTATATCGCCTTACTTAAAGGTTATTAGCGTATAGTGTTTATTATAGTAGGCCTTCTAATAGGCCTAGGCCTTTGCTAGTTTGTTAGCTATCTTAGCGTGAATTTCTCGTATCTTTTGAACCCTCTTAATAGCTGCTAGTGTCTCTAGCACTTAACGCGCTTCCCTTTCCTTACGCTCGGCCCCGAGCGATAGTAGGTCTTATAGCATAGCAGCATTCTAGCCTATTATAGCTATATATAGTAATACCTTAGTCGATAAGTAGACACTATTATTATACACGAATTTAGCTAGTTGTAGGAGGTTAACCTAGTCGTTAGGGTTCTCGTTAATGTAACTACGTAGGTACTGCTATAGGGTAGCATTCTGCCTCTCTATTTAACCGTTAGTCTATAGATAGAAGGCTGTTAATAGCCGATGCTTTAGTCTTAGCTATAAGCAAATCTCGCTCTAATAGTAAGATATTAGTGTCGATCTACGATCGGATACGATCCCCTTAGGAGTTCCCTAATAGGTATAGAAGATGTCGGTCTATAGCGCCTCTACTATATTAATAGCAGTCTAGTCTTTCCGCGCCGGGATATATCGAGCGCCTTTAGTAAATCGATCTACTATAACAAGGATAGTATTATATACGTCCTTGCTGCCCCTACGCCTAGTAGGTAGAAGGCCTATAATAAAGTCTATTATTAGCTTAGCAAATAGCTTCTTTAGAATAGGGAGCGAAAACAACTCGCCGAACGGTAAGTGCTTCGGTGCTTTAACTCGCTAGTATACTATATAGGTCTATATATACTCCTTTATATACCGCTTACTATTTAGCTAGTAGTATATACGCGATAGTAACTCGTACGACCTCTCTATACTATAGTAACTAGCGAGCTCACTATTATAGTGCCTCTTTAAAAGCTCTTATCTAATCGATTGCTTAGCGGGGATATAGTATCTGCCCTTAAACTTTAAGTAACCTTTATCGTCGATCGA